TTTGGGAAGTTACAAAAATAAGCCTCCATTCTGGTGAATGAAATCCACGTGAACAGAGATATGATTCATCACTTCAATTTTATCTCTTGGAAGCCTTACTTTCTTGTTCATATATGTGGCAATTTTGTCCAAGGTGTAAATGACGTTACTCAACCTATAAAAAAGTGAGTGATAGTGTGATTCATTACTTACATTGATTCTTTGCTACTTATTTTTACATTACAATAATTCATATACGCACACGCAGACACGCTGATGCGTATTCATACCATTGAACAGTGATAGTGTGATATTTATTACGATAATTTTGTTTGCATTGGTGTTATGTTTTTGTTTCTTTGTTTAGAATTTAGAAAGCTGAGCACTATCGCTAGCTATCCTTAACTGTATAAGAGGGGCTAATCTTCATTTATAAAATACATCTATTCCTGACATTCGACTCATGATGCAAGTAGATATGAACACCTTGACTTCTAATGAGCTTTTGATTTATGTTGACGGGGCTTTTGTGGGCTCTACGAACGCCAAGGGTTGTGGAGAACTAGTTAAGCATACCAAAAGAAATATCATTGAAGCTTTCATGCTCCGGTTATAGGAGGGCAATAGTCTAACAGCGAAACTATGGTCGTGCTATATGAGGCTTAAGAGAGCTTAGGATATCAAATACAAGAATGTCAAACTTCATAATGACTGTCACAATGCCTTATCTCTGTTAGGAGTTACTAATTATGAACTTCATGAGTATCGAGAGATTACTATAAAGATTCAATAACTACTTCAAAGAACTTGGCAGTTGATTTGATTTGCATTAGAAGGAAGTTTAACACCGAAGTTGATTTCTTAGTTAAACGTGCCTTATCGCTCCCTTTGGGACTCCACATAGTGGCTAGTGACTCTACTCCTTCGATCATGGAGGATTCTTAGTTTTCTTTTATTGCTATTTGTTTTTGTTTTTCTCTTGTATCAAAAAAAAGAAAGCTGAGCACTACCCAAACCCTTAAAGAAAATGTGTATGAAGGTGATGCTGAAATTAGAGCTACTCGCCTACCCCTAAGGTCCTAATGTTTTTTTTTTTTTTGTAAAAGGGGGTTGTTTGTCCAAAATGAGCTAGTTAGTCCACCCAGACCCATTTGTAGCCCAAGAAAAATAGGCTGAAACAATCACAAATCGGTATAGGATGGCTCAACCCATTTTAGACAAAACGAGATGGGACAGGCAGCCCAAGGGGTAATTTGTGACCCATCCCACCCGTTTATACCAAACATTGGCTAGCCTGTCTTTATAGCCAATTTGATTTTTTAAATAAATGGGTGGGTTTTAGCCCGCCCATTTTCACTAGGTACAGGCGGATTTGGCGGGTCGTGGGTTGTCTGTTTAACCCTAGATGGAGTGGAGGACGGTGAGGGTGTGTGATATAGGGAGGCAACGCTTCTTCAATAACATGTTCCTGTATGTGTCTGTCGTACATGTCGTAAAGTATTTTTAAGGGTTTAATTAAATGTCTTATAGACTTTTTGATTTTAATATTTAAGGACCAAAGATCTTCATTGTTACGTATTGGTTACTAGAAGAATTTGATCTTTAATTGTCTTTATCTGTGGCAGCGCGTGTCATTATTTAACAAAGTCGAAAATGACCACCAGTCGTCAACATCTGGGTGTGTTACAAATAAAATTTCAACTTTTTAAAGTATTGCTAAGAAACAAATAGTGTGTATATTACTTGTTATCTTAAAAGATGAACATGTAATATTTTACCAAAACAAATAAAGATAAAAAGAAAAAAATGACCTCTAATTTATAGATCTAGAAGTGCCTTTGATCCTTTTTTTTTTGGGTAATTTTTTAGTAATTTTATTGGGTTGTGTTAGTTCATAATTAGGAATTCATTATAATAATCAATTTGTGGATCTAATGGTCACCACATTAAAGTAGTTAAAGCCCATTCACCATCAACGTCAGGGATTAATGATTAATGAAATTAATATATATAATTTTAGTTATTAATAATCATAAATAATTTAAAAAATTGATTTGAAAAATTTGATTTAATTTGGCTTTTCTCCCATATTGGAAGTTGGAGATACAACCAAACGGCTCTTGATTTTTCAATTTCAGAACAAAAAAAGGTACACACTTTGGGGTTTAAACCCCCACCTTGCTCTAGAAAAGTGAAAAGGTATCTTTGTGGTACATGGTCCACTATCTTGATATGACTAACACAGTAATTTTAACTAACTACAATTAAGATATTTAATTATATAATCTAATCTAGCAATGAGTAATTCGGAAATTTTGACTCATGAATTGTACTCTGTTTGAAAAAATCTAGAATGTATTGAGCTATGCTTTTATATATATATTTATATAGTTGTGACAGGCGGACATCCACACCCTTCCACTTGTCATCCAAAATCGTCTGAAAAATCCTGGCTTATTTAATTGGATTATTATTTTTCATAATGCTTTAACTACGGACACCAGAGTTAATAACTAATTAAAACCATAAGGAAAAATATAGATTTCTAAATATGTAAATTGACTAAGAAAGGTAGCGTTACAGTTACGCACAGCAAATGGGAGAATCGTATTTTGTACTGATCGCATGAGCGTCTCAGTCCCAATTATTACAAAGATACAAGCACGAACAAAAAGGAAAATGTAATATATATATATATATATATATATATAAAAGCCTACGCATAAATAAAAATATAAATTTATAAAAAATATTTTTTATTTAATATAATTTTAAATCTGCATACTTAATCATTACTCTATAATCTCAATTTTTTTCCACTTGAAGTTGAAAGTAATATTGAAAAAGCATAATTAATAAAATCTTATTTTAGTAAAATTATTTTATATTTTGAGATATTGAAATATTCCCTCAGTCCTTATATACTCCTCTGGTCATATTTATAGGGTAGAGAGAGAGAATTTATTTTAATTCTATTTTTAAAATACCTCAATGATTATTATGTTTATCTTTATCATTTTTCCCCATTAAATGTTGAGAAGTTTATTAAATGAGATTTAAGATTTTCCTTGATTATGGTAAATATGTTATAAGTCACTTATAAATAGGACTACATAGAGTATATATAAAGTGTTTTTAACTGAATCTTACATACTAATAAAAGTTTGTTATTTAGTTGAAAGCATATAAAATCACAACAATTTCTTGATGGTAGATAGAGCACATAATTAACATCTACTCTCTTTTAAGATGATAGAAAAAAATTGTCCAACTATTCAAAAATATCTATGACACCTCTTTTGTTTATGGAAAAAATGAGTTTTAAAAAAATACCTTATATGTAAGAATGAGATAGAATATCTCCAAAGTTGTTTAATAATTTAGAACAAAAGTTGTGTATTTAGTAGTATCTAGGACTTGCTTGACATTTTGATATTTTATGAAATTTTCAAGAAGAAAGTTATTTTTTGTTTGGTCTAATCAATAGCTCGATTAAAGTGTTCATGCCCCACAGCATAGTGGTCAATGAGGATAGTCAGTTCGTCAAAAATAAAAAAGTCATGCAGGTCCTAAAGACTAATTAATAATTATTATATTTTGTGATATTCCATTATTATTTGCACATTTGAGAAGTAATTTGTTGTCCTTTCTCCCAATTTTTTTAAAAGCTACAGATTTTATATTATTATAATAAATAGATAAAAAGATATAGGGAGAATAACCAATAAAGACCCTGAAAGAGATGCAGTCAACACAAAACAAAAACTAAAAAGATGATTAGTTTTGTTGTCCTTCACAGACAAGCATGCTTCTCTTATATTTAATCTCCCAAAACCTTTTTAAATAACAGGAACTTAACTCTCAATTAACGAGAGATTAGTACAATGGCATACTAATTACATTTTTTTGTATATTAAAGTAAAGTTAATTAATTGTTGATATAATATATGACATACCTCAAATATACATATAATAAGAAAGGCAAGGTCAAATACATTCTAAATTAGCAATTCTCCCACGCGGTCAAATGTGTTACCTTTTTTCCCTCTGGTATTTTGGTACATCAGCTTAACCTCCGTAGATTTAAGGCTAATTATGATTAAATACTACGAATATTCAATATACACGTTTTTGTTAACGTCCCACTTTTTTTTTATTTCCATTGCCTAATATTCTAGAAAACTTAAGAGTATTGTCACCTCTTATTCAAAATAATTTGAACCCTGATTATAAGTGATTGATATCATTAATGACAGTTTTGCGGGTATTTCAGGATTTCTTTAATATATTTATAATATTAAATGAAGAGAGAGTGTGTGTATGTGTTTTTTTATATTTAAAAGTTTAGATGGATTAGACACCGGCAACCCATCAGAGCCAAAACAGATCTCCCAACCTCTGAGAATTTTTAAAAGAAATTTCAAATCATCTATCAACAAATATCTCGCATTAGTAAGTGAAATTCGAACTTTCGCTCTGCGATCAACTCCATGTACATCTTTCATCTTTAAACTTAAGGAATCAAAGGGATAAATTAGGCAAATATAAGGAACTAAAAATTTCATTTACCCCTAAATTAAAACAATGAGACAAAAATTAATTTGTGTAATTCGTATATAAGTTTAAATTTAAACAATATTATATGATTTTATTCATATTAAAATACTTTTATTGCTTATTATTGATAGATGAAAGATACAAAAGAGGCAGTAGTTTTTGGGTCGGTGAACTTACTTCATGGGGATAAAAAGGTGCAAGTGCATGAATCATGCTTATGGGTCCCACGAAAACAGTCCGATTCCTTTCACTTTTCTATTTTGTTGCCCTGATCACGTTATTGAGCCCAACCGCGTCCACACAGACACACACACACACACAGATTTTTCTGGTAAACTGATTCTCATTTTCTCAACCATTGAAGTCCACGAGGTAAATCTAAGAAACACGCTGAAACTTAAAGCAAAAGGAAAAGGATATAACATAAACAACAACAACACCACACAGCAAGCAGCCTTACAGAAAAGGAAACATGTAAAAAGTAGCTTTGAGAATCAGCGTGACGACACGACGAGGTCGGAGTAGTGATGATGGAGAAGCATTGTTTACTTGTCGGTCGGAGGTGGCTTCTCGCCGTAGCCCATCAGGTCCCCTATGGTTGGCTCCTTGCTGCTTCCTTTTGATGGTTTGTTTCCATTATCACCAGAGACATAAGTGCTTCCATAGCCTAAATGATCTCCTATGCAGCTTTTCCCGCCCTTTGATGATTTGTTTCCATTATTATCGGAAGCATAAGTGCGTCCATAACCTAAATGATCTCCTATGCAGCTTTTCTTGCCCTTGGATGGTTTATTTCCATTATCATCAGAAACATACCTGCTTCCATAGCCTAAATGATCTCCGATGCACTTTTTTCCCTTGGAATTATTTGATGAACTCATCGTCCCTGCATGTATAATATTATCAATTAATTCTTATAACTAGCTAGAAATGAAAGAATATTATAATTATGATTTAACACGCACACATGGCTTGGAAGTTGAACGAGTAAAAAATGATGAATTTAATTATGAAACTGTCAGTAGATTATTTTTTTATTTTATATTTATTAAAATAAAAAATTTATAAAAATTATAAAAGCCTTAAATTTTTACCGATGAAAACGCACCCACCCCTCGCTGAATAAATCTCACGATGAATGGATTTGGATTTTGGACTTTGTGCCATCAGCAATCACTCGCATTCATTGTAAAAAAAAAACAAAAACACCGTATTCCACACTCTATTTTCTGCCTTCTTCTTTACGTGGCGAGATGAGAGAGTGAGACCCACGCGACCAGAGCTGGCCACTGAAGAGAAGCGTGCCACACCCGACGAGGACAGATCAATGGGAAGAGGGCTTTCAGATTTAGGAGTCAACTCTCAAATTTTGGTTTCCTACATCTCACGGCTGTCTTCTTTCCACGTCATCAACGGCTCCTTTCGTCGTAATCTCTTAGATTGCTGCAGAGCTCCCGTCGTGAAGAACGTCCCGGCCAGACCCTCGCCGCTTCTTACGTCGTCACTCCAGAATCTCAGCAGCCCATTTCCCCAACGGCCTCTGCCGCACTCCCCTCCCCAGCATTCTCGGCCAGCACCACCGTATCAACCAAAACCACCGGTCATGAAACCACCGTATGTGCCGAAGCCTCAGGCTGTGGAGCCACCACCTTACGTTGTGAAGCCGCTACCACCACCAGTTGTGTCGCCACCGTATCAGCCAAAACCACCGGTGGTGAAAACACCGTATGCCGAAGCCTTCGGCTGTGAAGCCACCACCTCATGTTGTGAAGCCGCCGCCACCAGTTGTGTCGCCACCGTGTCAGCCAAAACCACTGGTCGTGAAATCACCGTATGCGTCAAAGCCTCCGGTTGTGAAGCCACCACCTTATGTTCCTATTCCACCGGTTGTGTCCCCACCGTAAGTGCCAAAACAACCGGTTGTGAAACCGCAAGTTGTGAAGCCACCGCCGTATGTACCTACGCCGGCCACTAGTTGTGTCTCTACCGTACGAGCCAAAACTACCAGTTGTGACACCCCCGCCGGTTGTGTCAACACCTCATTGCCAAAACCTTCGCCGTCAAATCTCCTACCCAGCTATTTCTATATCCTGAAAACACAGCCTTCTCCTCCTCCATCTCGGCAGCTGCCTCCGCCGCTGCCACAGCTTGGTTCAATGATCCTTCCTTATTGGCGGCACCGTCGACATGGGCCATGAACCCCTTGAAATCGCCTGACCCTTGCCGGTGCCCCACCGTGAGCAAGCACATGCAAATGAATTATCCCTCTTTCTTGTCAAGATCAAAAACCCAGAAAAAATAAGATCTCCGTATAGACCCACAATTTATTTGGTCTTTTTTCTGAAGACGCTTTCGAATATCATCGATCAGAAAAGAACAGTTATGTATATACGAGGAAGGAGAATTCAAGCACGAGTTTTTCAACGTAACTGAAGAAATTATAGCAGAGAATTTTACGATGATGCGGATATGATATTATACATACACAGGGAATTAACTTTTAGACTTTACCTGCAGGACCGGAGAATGGGGGAGTGACGCCGGTTGAGAATCGCTTCCGAACTTGTTCGCGACGTGAGTCGTGACCTAAAAGAACGGAGATTTCAATAATGCACCAATCAAAGATTTATTAAGGCCTCCTTCTATGTGTTCACCCGCCTGTGATTTCTCTGGAAGTGAAGTGTGTACGGGGATGGCAAGTTGGCACCCCAAAAGGCCAAAAAGCCTCCCGTCCCTCATCAATTTCGCACGTTTTTCCATATGAAGAGCTCATCATTTGCTGCAGACCAGTGAAATATTGACATGGTATTACCGAAATACCCCTGACTTAAAAAAGGAAAGAAAATCAACATCACCCACCATTGCATTTCTCAGACGCCGACCTACAGGGCCGTGCGAAGATATATTGAGGTTTAGGGCAAAATTATTTATAAAACCTACCATGTGTAATTGTTCTTTAAAAAAAAAAATTCACTCATCATTTTTAACAAAATCATATGTTAAAATTTTGTAATATAGTGATTCTAATAAAATACTAAATTAATTCAACATTAAAAATTAAAATTAATAAAGTGCTCCTACCCCATCTTATATATTGAGATAGAATATTAACACTAATATGGAATGGCAATACATTTTTAACAAAAAAGATATAATTAAGACTAATAATATTAATGATTAGTGTGAAAAACTAATAATAATTATATAAATTATAAATAATATTTTAATAAGGCTTAAAGGTGCCATGTTGATGGTTTAAAACTATACAAGATCTTGATACTAATATCTATCAATATTTTTTATTTTAAAATAAGAAAATGAGAAAACAAAAAGTGAGACTATGAGAGGACTTTAAAACAATATAATGTAGTAGAAATTAGTGTATTATGGATCACACTGTTCTTTTGTTACATAGATAATAAACTCAGCTCAATAGTTAATGTTACACAAGAAATGAATGGAATTTTTCAACAGAAAGAACAATAAATATTTTTTATTCTTTTTTTTCATCTACAATTAAATATATAATAATATAAATATTAATTACAGACATATATAATATATAATAGGGGTGTAATATATTTTTTTGGAGGCATAAGGCAATTGCCTCACCACGGCCCTGCCGACCTCAATTCTTCATCCTCCTCTGTTACACCCAAAACACCACCAAATCTGTCTTTCACCAACGGCTCCCTCAAGCGTCGCCACCCTTTGCCTCATCCGCCATCGCCTACGGTGGTTTCCTACAAGGAATGCCTCAAGAACCACGCCGCCAGCATCGGCAGCCACACGCTGGACGGTTGCGGCGAGTTCATGCCCTCCTCATGCTCCAACCCCAGTGACCCGCGCTCCTTCCAATGTGCAGCGTTCGGCGTCCACGGCAACTTCTACCGCCGTGCCCCCAGGAGCTAGCCCCAGCTTCTTATTTCATTGGTGACAGGGACTAACAAAAAATATAAAAAAAAAATTATATTCTCTATTTAACAAGTTTTTTACTAGATTTTTGAATTTGAATTTTTCAGTTATCGTAAGCTATGTTCATAACATAAGAAATTATCATTAATTACTGGAAATTATCATTATTGATCAATTTTTTAATTCTAAAATTATTTTTACAATTTTTAAAAGTTAATTTAAAAAATAATTTTTGAAAATAATAAATGGGAACAAAATAAGAAAGTCTTATGTGGCGAAACCCCCTCTTCTGTCAACCTATCACGAAAAGTTAGGATTAAAAGTCCCATTTTACAATTACAATTTTAAATCAGTCCGAATAGTACAATTTGCTACATATTTTTATTAATGTGAGATTAGTGTTCTGGAAAGCATAGAGAAATCCCCCAGAATTTTCTTGGATAATGAAATCAGATCAATGCAGGGGTTCAAATTGTTATTTTTTGTTTTGTATCTTTTAATGTAATAATATATATAATTTTTATTTATCAAATTATGTAGTTAATTAAAAGATTGTTATTAATAGTAGAGAAGTAGTTAGTGATGAGACTATGTTGTAAATTACCAAAGGAGGAAAATTATTTAATTAATCATAGTAATATATAATATAAAAATTTCCATTTTTTTGGGTCAAATACACAATTTGTGTGTGACAATGAATTGTATATAGCTGCATGCAGTCAGTGATCAAAAGTTTATATATATATATATATATATATCACTTTTGATATATGTGACTGATCAAAAGTTTATATGCATCTAAGTGTCATCAAATATCTGGGCGGCCCTGCACGCCATTTGAGTACTTTTGAACCCATCCGTTTCTCGTCTCTGCAACTCCTTCAAAGTTAAAGATCCCTCTGGGCTTGACCTTTGAAACAAAACCCCTGCAACTACGGCATTTAAATCCATCATTGATCTTCCGGATAATAATTTATTAAAATAAAAATTTATAATTTTTTTTATTACTCATAGATATTCTCTTATGAAATGCAATCTTATTCAAGACAAGCACTAAATATGGGTATCTCTCTCAATAGATATTCAAAACCTGATTCATCATGTTATGAGATATTAGCTCTTTGTTAAACTCAACCTCTGTTGATTTAAAATTTTATAAATTATAAAAAAATTAATGAATTTGCTCATCACTAATATCAACAATTCAGATTTAATATGTACAATCTAAATTTAATACACAAAATTTTTGAAAAAAAAGATAATAAAATTCCATCAAAATATATAAATGACAATTAGGTCTCTCAAAATGCTATAATTCCTTTCAAGTCCATGGATACCTTTATGAAATTAATGAAGCTAAATGACTAAATTATCCTTGTTTAATTATGAAAGAAATTTCACATGGAAAGTTGTGATTTATTGTTCAATATTTGTTGTTCAAAGCACAAAAGTTGTTATTGCTTGAACAAAATATATGACTGATTATTTTTAGAACTTGAACTTTAATAATAAAAAAAATTTAATGTGAAAAGTTGGGACTCCTTGTTAAGTTTTTACGATTCACAAAATAAAAGTTGTAATTTATTAAATAAAAGGTGTGGTTGGTTATTTTAAAAAAGGAGTAATTTAATCATTTAACATAAAATTATTAATATTAAAAAAGTACCCAAAGACTTGAGAGAAATTATGTCATTTTAAGAAACTTGATTGCCATTTATATATATTTTGGTGGAACTTTATTTTATTTTTCCAAAATTTTTTTTATAATTTTTTATAAATTAAGCATCTAGATTTACTATGAAATTTGGATATTTTAAATTTAAAACTTTTAATTTGTAAATTTTTAAAAAATATTTTTTTTGAAAGTTGGCCATCAAGATATTTTCTTTATTTCTAATATTATACTCTCTCCGTTTCAAATTATAAAGTATTTTTAAAGAAATTTTTTATCCCAAAATATAAAATATTTTG